ATGTCTTCAACCCTCCCTCCCTGCAGCAATCCACCCACCCATAGCTTTAAGCCCCTGGCAGCAACCTGTCTGACCACGGCTTCAACACCCCGTCCCCTTGGCAGCAACCTGCCCGGCCGCAGTTTCAACACACCGTGGCAGCAACCAGCCCAGCCGCCATGTGTGCTAGGCCCAAAATGCCAACAGCAGCTGCCCCACAATGTGGCCTTGGCTGCCAGAGCGGCCACCCAATCAGCCACCTCCCAACATGGCTGCAGGCCCATCCTGGTCCCCAACGTGCCCGCCCACACCGTCAATATCCTCCAGCAGCAACCTACCCACCTGTGGCTTCAACACCCCCTTGTCACCAACCCACCCAGCTGCAGCTTCAACATGTTGTGTCAGCAGCCCATCTGTCCGATGTTCTAGGTCTGAAACATCGGTGGCAGCCACCCCACAATGCAGCTTCAGCCCCAGCGGCAGCCAGCCCCCAACATGGTCCTGGCCACCAGAGTGACAGCCTGAGCACCCTTCCCCCAACTCAGCCCCAGCCCATCGCTGTCCCCACCAGCGAGAGCAGCCACAACACTCTCCTTCCATGAGTAGGACGGAGTGAGTGCTGCTGCAGAGGTGGGAAGGCTTAGATTAAAATTTTTTGTGCATTGCCATGACTAGCGCAGGCTCCCAGCTGCACAGGAGAGGAGGACGGGGCTGAGCTCCAGCACAGCATCCCAATGGTGTAACAGTGGCCAACGCAAGATGCTTCAGAGGGAAGGAACAAAACAGGCAATCATCAAGTGATCCATTTTCTGTCATCCACTCCTAGCTTCTGGCAATAAGAAGCTAGGGACACAAAGAGCATAAGGGTTGCATCCCTGACCATCCTGGCTAAGAGTCATTGATGGACTATCCTCCATGAACTTATCTAGTTCTTTTTGAATCCCTTTCTAATTTTGGCCTTCCCAACATCCAGTGGCAATGAATTCCACACGTTGACTGCACCAGGTGAAGAATGACTTTATTTTGTTTTAAACCTGCTATTAAATTCATTGGTTGACTTTCTTATTCATCTTTTCCACATCAGTCATAGTTTTATGGACCTTAGTCATATCCCTACTAGTTGTCTCTTTCCCAAGCTGAAAATTCCCAGTCTTTAATCTCTTCTCATGCAAAAAGTTGTACTGTACCCTTAATAATTTGTGTTGCCCTTCTCTGTAACTTTTCTCATTCTTTCTTTCATGAGATGAAGTACTGCACACAGTATTCAATATATTATCATAACATGGATTTACATAGTGGTATTATGACTACTTTCTGTTTTACAACTGATCCTTTTCCAAATGGTTCCAAACATTGCTAGATTATTTGACTGCTGTTGCATATTGAGTGGATGTTTTCAAGAGTACTATCTACAATGACTCCCAGAGCTCCTTCTTGAATAGGAAACGTCATAGTTATATATCATCATTTTGAATCTACATTAGGGATGTTAAATTTTGATTAATCAGCTAATTGAGTAGTCAATGGAATTGTTATCGACTATTCAATTTGTCAATAAGGGTGGCTTGCTATCCCTCTGCCGCTCTCTCTTTGGATTGTACAGGAGCTGCTCATGGCTCTTTTATATTTCAAAGGCAGAGATGAAGTGGGTTTCCTCAGCCTCTCTCTGAAATGTACAGGAGCCACATTTCGGTGGAGGGGGGAGGGCTGGCATGGTTCCGCTCTGTGCCTCTTCCTTTGAAATGTACAAGAGTCATAGGCTCTGTTTCAATCCCTGCTCACTCCATTTCCCCTATGCCTGCCCCCCCCACCCCCCGAGATGGTGCTGGGGCGAGGAACCAGCTTTTAAGCTGGCTAGCACCAGCTCATGCTCCCCCCTTGGTGTCTCTCTCTGATAGAGGTAGCAAGGTGGGGCAGAAGCAACTAGTCAAGTTCCTACTCGGCTACCTGAAATGCATTTGTTTAGGGGGTAGTCAGCTAGTTGCTTACAACCCTAATCTAAAATTGGGATTATGTTTTCCAATGGGCATGATTTTGCATTCATCGACATTTAATTTCAGTTGCCATTTTGTTGCTCAGTCATCTAGTTTTATGTGATTCCTTTGTAACTCTTCACAGTCTGCTTTGGACTTGACTTATCTTGAGTAATTTTGTATCCTCTGCAAACTTTGCCACTTTACAGTTCACCCCTTTTCCCAGGTAATTTCAGACTATTTTGCATAGTACTGGACCCAGGACAGATAACTGGGGGATACCACTCTTTACCTCCCTGAATTCTGAAAACAAACCAATTATTCCTACTCTGTTTTAGGTCTTTTAACTAGGAATGTCAATGTAAACAATTAAGTGGTTAACCGATGAGCCTGGGATCATCGGTTAACCTTCACGGTTACACGCCTCTGTATCAGAAACAGCTACATTGGGAGGCAGAGGGAGAAGGCAGGAGTCAATGCTCACGGGGAGCTGGCTTTTAAGCAGGATCCCCACGAGCACTGGCTCCCATGAAGCTGCCTGCATCCCACCCGTCTTGCTGCCTCTGAATCAGAGGTACCAGTTGTGGGGAGAAGGGGGTGGGGGAAGGCAGGAGCCAGTGCTGGTGCAGAGCCAGCTTTTAAAAGCCAGCTCCCTGCCAGCACTGGCTCCCATGGAGCCACCTCCAAGCAAACTTGTAACCACTCAAAATTTCAGCAGTTACACATGAAAAAAAAAAAAGCTTTTTAATATCCCTACTTTTATCCAGAAACTTGCCTCATCTCATGACTGCTTAATTTAAGAGCCTCTAGCTAGCGACCTGGTCAAAGGTCCAAGTACACTATTTCTGAAAATCCAAGTACACTATAGTCTCTGGATCAGTTTTGCTCACGTTTATTAACCCCTTCAGAAAATACTAATAGATTGGTGAGGGATGATTTCCATTTGCAAAAGCTGTGTTGATTCTTCCCCCAACAAATTGTGCATGGGCAATGGGTGAAAATAGGGCTGGGGGAAGCAAACCCCAAGCCCCTGCCCACACGGGAGCCAAGCTGCCTCCCCCCAGCACCATGGGGAGGCGGGGCAGTATGCAGAACCAGCCCCTCCCCAGCACCAGAGGGAGAAAGGCATGCAGCCCACAGCCCCAGAGCATGGGGAGGGCGGGCGGCGTGCAGTCCCAGCCTCTGCTGCCTGCAGCATTGGGAGGGCGGGCACTGGGGGCACCAACACTCCACCCCCAGTTTGCCTACAGTAGCTGTTCTTGGGGTGGAGAATGGGTGGAACCAGGCTGAGGGTTTGGGAAGGCATTGCCTTCACCTGTTTAGCATATCCACTGCCCATGAAATTGTGTTTTTCTATGTGTCTGACAATGATATTCTTCACTACAGTTTCAACCAATTTGCTTGGTATTAAAGTTAGGCTGGCTGGTCTATAATTGCCAGGATCATTTCTGGAGCCTTTTTTTAAAAATGGCAACACATTAGCTATTCTCCGGTCATTGGGTACATAAGTTGATTTAACCTATCATTATAGGTTACATACCACAGTTAGTTCTGCAATTTCATATTTGAGTTCCTTCAGAACTTTTGGGTGAGCTCGTCCTGGAGATGTAATGTTTAATCTATTGTGAATAATGGCATTTTCAACAGCCTGTGTTCTGCACTGTGGATACTCATGGTCTCACCACTAGAGGAGAGTTCTGATCCAGGAATAGTGCTGTTCTTGGCATATCTTGAGAGCAGGGTGTCATTCTGCAGCCTGAATAGAAGTAGTGTTGCCACCCTCACCGGGGATTTCCTAAGCCATGAATAGTGGTGCTCTCTCAACACTTCCACGAGGGCTGCTCTATTCAGGTTCTAGGGATGGGTCACTATGGGTTTCAATTGCAAGATGTCATTGTACTGCTCTTTTTTTTTGTTTCTCCGTTAATTGGATTGCCTTTTTCCCTATCCTCTGTTTATCTGTTTTGTGCCTTACCACTATCATTTTCCATCCTGGCTGACAAAACACTAGGGCCACTTGTCCTGCCCTCTGAATACTGGTGCTCTTGAACCAAGAACCACTTTGCTTCATAAAGAGTTCATGACTTGACAACCAATGGAGGAGTCTCCTGCATCATGTAATGAGGCACCACGTGGCAGGACATCCTGCACAGTGAATAGTGGCACAATGGGAGCACACCAGGACAGGATGTCTTGCACAGTGAATAGTTGCATCATGGATGCACCTCAGCATGGAAGCTTCCTGCACAATGTCTAGTGGAGTAAGAGATGCACCCAAGGATGGGATATCCTGCACAGTGACTAGTGCCACCATGGATGTTCCTCTCAGGTGGGACATTCTGCACAGTGGTGACACCCGGGATGGGGTGTCTTGCACCATGTCTAGTGGTGCAATGGACCTGCCCCTGGGACGTGGTGTCCTGCATAGTGATTAGTGGTGCAATGGACCCGCTCCTGAGAGGCGGTGTCCTGCATAGTGATTAGTGGTGCAATGGACCCGCTCCTGAGAGGCGGTGTCCTGCATAGTGATTAGTGGTGCAATGGACCCGCTCCTGAGAGGCGGTGTCCTGCATAGTGATTAGTGGTGCAATGGACCCGCTCCTGAGAGGCGGTGTCCTGCATAGTGATTAGTGGTGCAATGGACCCCCTCCTGAGAGGCAGTGTCCTGCATAGTGATTAGTGGTGCAATGGACCCGCTCCTGAGAGGCGGTGTCCTGCATAGTGATTAGTGGTGCAATGGACCCGCTCCTGAGAGGCGGTGTCCTGCATAGTGATTAGTGGTGCAATGGACCCGCTCCTGAGAGGCGGTGTCCTGCATAGTGATTAGTGGTGCAATGGACCCGCTCCTGAGAGGCGGTGTCCTGCATAGTGATTAGTGGTGCAATGGACCCGCTCCTGAGAGGCGGTGTCCTGCATAGTGATTAGTGGTGCAATGGACCCGCCCCAGGACATAAGTGTCCTGCATGGTGACTAGCCCTGTGTGTGCGTCCCTCCTGCCCCTCCCCCAAGCAGCCCAGGCTGGCAGCCGGCGCGGCGGTGCTGACTTACCTGGCCATGGACTTGGCTTTGCTTCTTCATGTAGATGTGCGGCTGCTCCCTGGCCAGCGAGTGGATGTTGCCGATGAGGGGCAGTCCCCGGGGTCCCGGCGGGAAGCCAGGCGGCCGCCTCTGCTTGAGCAGCTGCCTCACTATCAGCGAGAGCACGAGGAGCCGGAGCGCGCCGGACACCCCCACCGAGAGCACTTGGCCCTGGGACCACATCGCACCACTGCCCCCGCCAGCGGCAGCGCCCGACTCCCGTCTCCCCGCCCCTTCGCTCCGCCACGTGGGCGCGGCCTTCCCTCGACCGCCCCGATTGGTCGGCGGCCGGGCTACTCAGCAGACTCCAAATGTGATTGGTGGAGCCCGGCCGGCGGCCGGCTCTTTCCCAGCCTCTTCTTCCCCCTATCTCTCAAGCTCTCCACAGGGGCCGTTGGGGTTGCGGCCGTTGGGAGAGGTCGGTTGGGGCTACTGCGAGAGGCACCGTTACGCCCCTCCCCCGCTGCCCACACCGCGTGTAACCAGGTGTCTGGCCGTTGTGCAGCAGCAAGCCGGGGCGGGCTGGTTACGTAACTGGCCCCGTGTAGGCGACAGGCCAAACAGCGGCTGGAGAGTCCTCCCCGCGACCGCTGTGTAGTCCCGCCCCCTGCCCTCCGTATTTCCCCCGAGGCCCAAGGGGCTGCTTCAAGGGGCGAGGGGGCGGCGCTCGCAGTAAAGGCTGCAACTGGTTGCAAACAGCCCTGTGGTGCCTCAGAGGCACAGGAGACTGGTGGCAGCACTCGGAGGTGCCTCTCCCCCGGGCGCCTGCAGAAACATTAATTATTAAGTGTCCCCACGTGGCCCTTCAGTGCTCCTCTGGGTGGCCCTCTCTGCGCCCCTCCCAGCAAACACCAGTCACCTCTGCTCACAGAGCCCCGATCTGGAATTAGCCTGCTCCTCTGCCCCCTGCAAATAGTGGGGAGAAGCAGGCAGAAATAAAGCACCTCGGCAGCATAGGTACAGAACTTAAGAAAGGCCATAGTGGGTCAGACCAAAGGTCCATCCAGCCCAGTATCCTGTCTGCCGACAGTGCTCAATACCAGGTGCCCCAGAGAGCGTGAACTGAACAGGCAATGATCAAAAGCGATCTCTCTCTCTCCTGCCATCCATCTCCACCTTCTGACAAACAGGCTAGGGACATAATTTCTTACCCATCCTGGCTAATAGCCATTGATGGACTTAACCTCTATGAATGTATCTACTTCTCTTTTAAACTCTGTTATAGTCCTAGCCTTCACAACGTCCTCAGGCAAGGAGTTCCACAGGTGCTGGAACTCTGGGTTTGGAGAGTGTTGCAGCATCCCCTGGCTTGAAGTGGTTCCCATTATATACAGGATTTAGTCTGAATCCCTGGATCACAGCACCTCCACTACAAACATTGTTCCAGCACCCCAGCTCACTAGGAAGAGAGTGGGTTGAGTGGCAGGGAGGCAGCTTGAAAGCTGCAGGTGAGGTTTCGGGGGATTGACTTTCAAGTGCTTTTTGCACCATGTGTCTCCTTGCAAAGTTGGCTGAGCAGGCTAAGATGCAATGGTTTAGGAATGTTTCCCATAGATGGATTCTCTGCTGAGGTCAGATGGCACTTCCTGCCAGCCTTCAGCACCAGACAGTAACTCCATAAATGGTGTCCCAGAAAGACCTTCTGAGAAAAAGTTTTAAAATCAGGAAAGAGGAAAATATTTCAAGAGTCATTAAGTGGTTTAGGAACTTAAATCCTACTGAATTTCAATGAGAACGAGGCACCTAAATCACCTAGAAACTTTTGCATAGTTTACCATATGTGCTGATTTTGATTTGGAGGGATGGATGGGTATGAAGAATGATTTGCTTATTCATCTACAAAGCAAAATGGTTACTATACTGAGTAAAATGTTAACATGTTTGAGGCAGGAAGCCATTTAATATTAATTAATTAACAAAGGGGTCTTTAACTTGGAAAAGTTTTTGTTTTATTTTGCTACAGCCCAAATGTGCTCCTGTGAGAGAAAATGAAAACTGGATGTTTGAATTGCTGTCCTCTGACACAAAATTATGCTACAGTTGCCCATCATTGAGAGGGTAAAATATATTTCTAGTGAAATGAGATTAAATTGGATTGGGGAACTGAGGGGAAAAAGGGCAAGTGTATTGCAAGAAGGAGCTGACTGACAAACTCAGTATTTTAGTTTTGTACCTCTTTCTATTTTATTTAGAGATGGGAGGTTATTAAAATAAAAGCATACATAGCTAGGCCCATGCACTGTACCATTTCTGTTCTACTTTCCACTCCATACCTATCTTCTCTCTTTCTCTGGCCACTCCACCCTTACATCTTTGAAATGTGGATTGCAAACCATAGTTTAATAAAAGCACTATTGCACTCCTGTATACATTCCTTTGCAAAGATGTTACAGTGAAGTGTTTGAGAGAAAATGGGAGTGCCCCCAAAACATTTGGATACACTGTATTTGGCATTTTCTTTGAGAGAGATAAGATTATTGCTTAGGGTTATGTCATCTACTTCCAATATTGCATGATAATTTCAGTTTAAAAACTTTGATCTTCTGTGCTGCTGATAGCTTTTGCAGGCTACAAAAAGTGAGAAAGGTATTAAAAAGATGTAATCTTTCTTCAGTAAGTAATCATACAATTATAATATATGATTATGTGATCATCTTAGTCCATCTCGAAAATTTATAATTAGCATAGCATATGTATAAATTTGAAGAGCATTATCAGTATGCTGTTGTAAGGCTAGGGGGATTCTTCCAATAAATGAGTTACTACGGTAGTAAAGGATCAAGGAAACTGCATTCCAGACCATACCAGAACAAAAGAAACCTTTTTCTCTTTGTAGGTCTAATTTGTCTACAATCACTCCAGCCTTAATTACACTGCATTTTTGAAAAAGGCAACAACACTCCTAGTGTTGCTCAATAACACTGAAGTCAGCTGGCTGAGCTTTCCAGATAGTTCACGTATTTTCCACTTTTTATGAACCAAACTATTTGCTTTATGCAGAAGGGTTATTTTTAATTCATTTTTGTGGGGTAGCGAACAGAGGCAAGTATTAAAGCAGAGGCAAGAAGTAAATATAAAATCAAAATAACATAAAAATATCGTAAAGAACTGTACACGTAGATCTTGCTTTCACTAGGGAAAAGAAGCATGTTCTTAACTCCTGTTAACTAGAGTTAAGTCTAATCTGACTTAAGTTAACTAACATGAACAAAAATCCTGGTGAAAACAAGTCGATTTGAAGTTTTCATATGATTTAACAGGACAAAGTAAACCATAACCTTTCATTTGCCCTGCTAAATTATGTGAAAAACATAAACTGCCTTGTCTTTTGTTGGTTAAGAACCTTCTGCAGCTATCTCAATATCCAATATTGAGTCTCAGAGGGGTAGCCGTGTTACAGTCTACATTTTTTGTTAGTCTGTAAGGTGCTGCAGCACCATTCATTATCTCGACATTGAATTCAGGTTATTTCCCTATATGAAAATTCCAGGGTAGTTTGTAGTGGAACCTCCATGCATAGAGTTCCTTTAGTTTAACTTGGAACAAAATTAAACATAAAGCACACAGTGCCAATGTTCCCAAGTACTTCCCTGAATTTTCTCTACAGTATTTGGTGATTCTTTTACCAACTATGGACTTATAATTTGCTCCAATTTAGAGGTCTTAAATTAGTTGCCAATTTCTCTCTCTCTCTCTCTGGCTACATCTATACTGCAGAGTTTTTGCACAAAAACAGCTGTTTTTGTACAAAACCTCATGGAGCATCCACACTGCAAGCATATCTTTACACAAGTAAATTTACAGTAAATCAGAAGAAGAGAGGGGTTTTTGTGCAATAGTTATTCCTCTTTCTACGAGGAATAAGCCAAAGTGTGCGTGGACAGGAAACGGGGGGGGGGGGTTGTTTGAGCAAAAACAGCCCTATTGAAAGAATCACACGTACTCCTGGTAGTCATTCTGTCAATAGCAATCAGAGCTTTCTTGCGAGAGAGCATCCATGCAGTGTGGATCTCTTCTGCAAAAAGCTTCTTATTCAAGAAGCCTGCAGTCTAGATGTAGTCTCTTATCCCATATCAATATATAATTACTTCTGTTGGAATCTGTACCCCATTACTAAGGAATCTACACTTTTATTTTTTTCTCTATGAAATTATCTTTACTTCATCTTGAACTTTCCAGTACACCAACTAAAGTTCTTCTTTAAACAGCCATGTGTCAGATTATATTCTCCCCTCCTGTCAACCAATCAAGCTGTCAGAGTTCGATCATATTTTCAACAGTAGATTTACCTTTCATTCAGAGACTCATGATGGAATATTTTCCAAAAACGTTTGTAAAATTGGCTAGGTGCATTTTTACTTTATCATTCTGAAGCATTAAGTTTTGGCCACTATAGTGGTCAGGATGCCAGACTTAATGAACCAATGATTCTTAAAATGGTTCCAGTGAATCAGTCACTCACGCTTAATTATTTCATTACCACCACCCTTTTCGATCATCTCAGAACTGACTCATTTCCTCTCCCTATGTGTATTAGTCCAGTAGTGAGGTAATTTAATGTAGCCATCACACATCCTTAAATATCACAAAGAGGGAGGGGGGAGTTTCAGCCCCCATGGCCTCTCAAAACAGTGCCAGGGGGCTGTAGGCGGTTTAGAACTGGGACAGTCCAGGGTGGGGTATATATGCACCCATCACTTGCCTGGTGATTCTGTCTCTTTTTGTATGGTTGTATGAGAAGCAATCCCATTCCAGGCACATCACGTTTTCCTGGCAGAACCAAACTGCTGTCTTGCTTTAAGTTATGATAAGAGGAAGCTGGATATCAAATTAGGTGGTCCTAGCTTTTATTGTTTAGGAGGAGTTCTTGAACAAACAGACAAACTCTCTCAAATATATAGTAGATGGCTGGATGGGCATCATTTGTATTGACCTTGTATTGGACAAGAAAGAAAAGGAAAGTTAATAGATCACTTTGGCAGCATTAGATTGAAGGGGATAGATGGTAATGAATTTAGTATAAAAATACACAAGAGGAGGAGATTAGAGCATGGAAGAGCAATTTGGTTATTTGAATAGAAAGGAAGGAGTACATTGTATATAGTTTCAAAGAAAAAGTAACTGTATTCAGGCCTCCTAGATGTAGAAGAGAAAGGAAGGAAGGAACTGAAGTTGACTCTTATCCAGTTATGTGCCTTGGTAACAGGAAAGACTATAGTGTTACCATTTGAAATAGAGAATGGAAATGTTGAAGAAGATTCAGGAAGAACAAAGATCTCAGTTTTGGTCATGTTGATCTTAAGGAGATGCTGAACCATCCAAGATTAAACATCTCAGAGTCATTAAGAAATGCATAACTGAGTACCGAAGAAAGATCCACAGTGCATAAGTATATTTGAAAGTTGCCCATACAAAAATAATAGTTAAACCCATATGAGATGACCCAATTACTAAGGGTACGTCCACACTGCAACACTATTTTGAAATAACTAGCGCTATTCTGAAATAACTTAGTCCCATGGTCCCCAACCCGGTGCCCGCGGGCGCCATGGCGCCCGCCGGGCTCTTTACATGCGCCCGCCTGAACTGCTCCTTGTGAGTTGAGGTCTGTGCACTGGAAAAGGTTGGGGTTTAGGACAAGGGATGGACCTGGGACTAGTCTGATGAGAGGAAATGCACCATCATGTGCCCCTTCTGATCTGTGAATACTGTCTCAACAGTTAATACAGCTTCAGGTTGCTAAAACCATACAAACCAGAAATGGTGTTAGCAACTAAAGGCTCTATACCAGGAAGGTAGACAGGGAGGTA